GTCGCAGCTTTCAGCTCAGGAATATCTGAGGAATCTTAACTAAACTGAAATATTTCCTGGTTCAGGATTTCTCTTCTGCACGTCACAATTACACCCAGTGAAAACCTTTTCCAGTGAAAACCTTTTCCAGTGAACTGACACATCAACACCAGCAGCAGGTTTTCGTTTCTCTCACTCTGCCAGTTACTGATTTAGGACTTTTCTTCAACATCCTGGAAACAGAACTGCAGTGAAGAACAGAAACAAATGATTCATCAGAGCAGTAGATGGCTGTTCAAGAAGTCCAAATGGAAACCTGGACCTGGTCGTCCGCTTCCTGCTGGGTCTGTCGCTGCAGACCAATCAGAGACTCGTACACACAGACAGGAAGCAGCTCAGACCAATGAGGAGACAGTTCAGTACATAAAGAAGAACATCAGCGACAATCTGCCTGTAGAGAAGATCATCAACCTTTTCCACTGTCTGAATGAACTGAACCATCGTTCTCTAGTGGAGGAGATCCAACAGTCTCTGAGTTCAGGACGTCTGTCCTCTGGTAAACTGTCTCCTGCTCAGTGGTCGGCTCTGGTCTTCATCTTACCGTCATCAGAAAAAGATCTGGATGAGTTTGATCTGGAAAAGGATTCTCCTTCAGAGGAGACTCTTCTCAGACTGAGAGGTCAAAGCTGCTAACAAAGTCATACAAGTACAAACAGAGCCAGATACATCTGGTTCATCAGGCTCAGCTTGCTTTATTTGTTCAATCATTTGTTTTTGGAGCGATTTCAGTTCTTAGATTCTTTATACTTTAGTTTTGAAGTCGTTCTTTAAACTTGAACATGTGAGTATTTGAGGCTGGAAGCTCTCAGCCCTGAACTCCATCACCTTACAGAGCTACAACCATCTGGGAGGCGGGAATGAAGACGCTCTCCTTTGGGAGAGACGGTGAAAATGGCAGACTGGAAACTGAAAAATGATTTAAATATAGTTATTCAAAGAGAAACTCTGAGCTTTAAGTCCAACAGACCTAAAGCTGTTGGCCTGAACAGCAAAGTGCCAAAGTTTGAACCGATTCTATTTTTACTGGATGCTGCAGCAAGTATGAAGTCAATCGACATCCTGAGGAGTTGAGGACACATGAAATCACTTCCTGTCTCCTCCGGTGGGTTTCAGGTGAGGTACCGCTCACCTGAACAGCGCCCTCTGCTGCACTGGTGCTGCTTCTCTTCTGGCTGTTGCATCCAGTGGAGACCACAGCTCACCTGGAAAGAGATGAACAAGTCATTATTGATAATTATATATGGCAGATGAAATGCAGCAATACTGTGAAAAGTTTATTACTAAATAACTAAAAACTCTCCAGAGTTTCTCCTCCTGCATCTTATGAATCGTAGCTTCAGAACCTTGAGCTGCTTTTAGCCTCTATTTAGCTCAGAGTTTTGAGCCGAGGCTCCAGAAATCAGGTCATTGTCGTGTTACTTCATGTCTCTGTTAGGAAGGACTCAGTTTTTCTAAAACTTGTTGAATTCCAGCGTGTAAATGAGTCTTTGTCTGTGAAATGTTTGCTACCTTCAGGGTGAGTCCTTTGCGGCAGCCATCTTGGGATTCTGCTAAAGAAGAGGCCCGCCTCAAACACAGCTCTTTAATAGAACCGGCTGCACTTTGATTGGCCGGGCAAATTGAGAGGCGGGGCTTCACTGGTTAATTGATGAACTGCTGGATGTAAGGGCGGCCATTTTGAAAGCTGCTTTGGTGCAAATGACTCAATAAATAAACTTTGTTGGCAGAACAGCAAAAGTTTGACTGGATTCTTCTTTCCACACCTTTTAGTATAAAAGTCACATTCTTTAATAAATTATCACAAACTCTTGTCTCATAATTCAAACTGTTGACCTTTGTTATTCCAACTGTAATTTTCTGTTTTATCTCCAGAGAATCTCTAAAAATTGAGACTTTAGAGAGAATCTAAAATCTCTCTAATTTTATATTAGAGAGATTTAATCTTTAATTTTTAGATTAAATCTAAAAAACATCGACATGACGGCACCAGGTCCAGTTCTGGTTCTGCCCTCTGACCTCTTGGCCTCCTCCGGCCTGCACAGGTAGAGATAGGCCAGGTTCTGGAGCCACAGTGATGCTGATCGGTGATACGAACTGGATTCTGATCCGAATCCTGAGACGGATTCAAGCTGCAGCTTCAATATCAGAACCAGATGAAGTTTCTTCTTCACTAAAGAACCTTTCAGTTTGAGTCTCTGAATGAAGGAACTGATTTCATGAACGCAAGAGAGTCAGAGGAAACCGGGTCAGAGAGAACCGGGTCAGAGAGAACCGGGTCAGAGATAGAACCGGGTCAGAGAGGGAACCGGGTCAGAGAGGGAACCGGGTCAGAGATGGAACCAGGTCAGAGAGGGAACCGGGTCAGAGATGGGGCTGCTCTTAATGTTATTAAAATACTTTTATGAATTGATAATCATTTCAGTTTGAGATGAGTAAAATTTAATTTGCTGCTTTTGAATAACAGTTTATTGTTTCAGAGAGAAAAACAACAGAAGTAAAATGTATTATTTCAAATGAAAGCTAACAGAGGAACTCGTTTCTATGGCTCTTAATGTGAAAGTACTCACCGGAAGTGAATGTAGTTTGTAAACGCTCTAACTTTATCAAGTAGGTGTAGTTATCTGGGTCCGCTAGAGGGCAGAAACCGCCCTGCTCTGATATTAATAGTTCAGTTCGCGGCTCGGCAGCTAAAATATCAACATTATTCTGACTGTTTGCAGGATAATTTAACTTTTCATAAATATTTTCCTACCTTCAGACCGGAAGCTCAGCATCTTATCGCCTAAACCAGAGTTTGTTTCAGCTCTGTTGGAGCTGAAGCTCCAGTTTTAAGAACCACAGCTCCTCTGAAGCCGCTGCTAGTCTGTTAGCATCGTTAGCTCCGCTCAGAGTTTCTGCGGGATGTTTTCGTCTCTGTGGAGATGCTTCTAGTTCACACTGACAGATGAAACACTGATTTCCAGAAACCAGCTGCAGCTCTTCAAACTCACCTGTATATTCAGAGCGGGGTATTTACGCCCTCTGGTGGCCTTAGTGGGAACTACAGCCCTGATAATGCCGCATTATTTATGTTTAATATCCATTAATGTGGAGTTTAGAGAAAAACTAAAAGACATCCTGAGTCATTATCACAGATTTCTGACTCGTATATTATTCAGACATATTTTGATTCACTGTTTGGAGTTAACTTTGATCTGACGTTATAAAATTTTACATTAAAACAAACATCCGGTTTAACAATTTATATGAAGAATGTCTGTAGTTATGATAGTTCACCACCAGAGGGCAGTAAGAACTCAATCAACCATCATAAAATTAATACTTTAAACTTTTCATTAGTTTCTAATGACAACAGCTATATTAACTTAATCCTGTGAATAATAATTTATATATTTCATACATGTATGTTATTAGAGATGGAGATTAATTATTAGAATAATTTAGACACAAAGTGAACTTATAAATTAATATTTTATTTTACTATAGTAAAATAGTAAATAGTTTGAAAAAAATCCTACATTTTATTGTGTAACAATCCCAGAATTATTAACTGTGGCTAATTTTGAGAATGAAAGTATGAAAAAGCTTCAAATATCAAGAAAAAACAACCAGCTGACATAAGAACAACTGTTCTTTATTATTTTAAAAACTGTTTAAAATTATAAAATAAAGCTGATGTATTAAACTCTTTACAAGACGTTTTATTTCTAATCAAACTGAATAAAATCCTGCAGTGACTCTTATTTAACGACAGTAATGTAAGCTGACTTGATCTGACTTTATAACAGTGAAAATTAAAACAAAGAGAAACATCTGGTTGAACAATTTCTATTGATGATGTAAATAATGAATAAATCCAGAACGACGGCAGGATGACCGATGGAGAATGTCCTGATATGTGAGGAAAATTAACTCTTTCATCTCATGAACATATAAACTTTTATCCAAGCATCATCAGAGGTGGAGTCGCTCGTCCCGTCTGTATCAGCGCTGAATTTTCCTGCGTACCTGAACACATCTTCAGTAAAACCAGCCTCACTGAAGCCAACAGACCAGAGCTTCGTTGCAGGAAAACTCTGAAGCTTCTTGCTGGTTTTAGCCTCTAAACTGAGACGCGCTCTCATAAGGAGTGAAATGTTGCACTAGGTGCAGGAGACCTTTAACCCCTGGTCCCAGGTTTTAGGCGGTGTTGAGGTGAAGAGCGAGGCTCCTGATCTGCTGTGAGTGACGTGACGCTCGGTGGAAGTTCTGCATCCTGTTGCAGCTTCATGTTGGAGACGTGAGGTTTTGCTTCTCCTGTCAGGGATTTGATGGGAAACGAGTCACAACATTCAGATGATTTAATCACTTTGACGATGCAAACTCTGGTTCCTCAGTGTTTGGTCTGTCAGAACGCTGGCTCAGGTTTCTCCTCTAGTTTTTCTTTAAACTTGTTCCACTTTAAATCCACACAAATAAACCACAGAAAGTTATTTTCTCATCTTCTGATGCAAATTTGCATCCATCAACAAAAGCAGGAAAATAAAACTGTTCTTGAACAACAGCTGTGCAAACTGATCCCATCACATCTGTGAGCAACATGGAGTTGATCTGTTTCACCTTTGACCTTTTCTTCCTTCTTGTTGCATCAGAAACTTAAAGTGAATAAAGACGGTTTGAGTGAAACCAGGTTTCAGGTGGACTGAAGTCGTCTTCACTGTGAACTTCATCAACTTTCTGCTTCACAACAAAACCTTTCAAATCCAAACACACATCCAAGCAGCCGAGTCCAAATGATCCACGTTCAAATATTGTTTCTTTTCTCTGCAGGATCTGGTCAGGACGTCTGGATCTCAAGTGGATTTAATGCCACAGATCCAGAGGAAGTTTTACTGTTTGGCTCTGAATCTATAGAGCTGCTATCATGTCTGATTTTAGATCAACTTTTTCACCTCAACAGAATAAAATGACATTTTGTCCCATTAACAAACTCTTTAAAGCTTTTTAATGAAATTTATGCTTCATGTTTTTGCTCAATTCAACTTTTCTAACAAACTCAGAGTATTTTTCTCTCTTTTGTTCCTGCAGATCATCAAACAGATCAGATGAAAAATAAAACTGAAAATCTTCAACAATAGACGTCTGGAAAATATTTGAAATAGAAATAGAAAATGTTCTGAGGTCAAAGGTCATCATCTTGATCCAGAGTCTCTTTAGACTCAAACTGCTGCAGCTTCAACCTGTGAGGATCAGCAGGACACAGAGACGTTCTCTACTTTACAGAGATCAGAACCTGCAGAGAGAAGAAGGAAGGAGAGCAGATCAGTGAGTGTTTCCAGTAGCAGTCAGTGACGCAGCACATCCAGTAGATGGTTTCCAGTCAGACTGATCTCAGAGCTGTGACCAAGATGAACCTGATCAGTTGTTTCCTGTTGAACTGAGAGAACAAGCAGGTCTGAGATCAGATCTGCTGCTGTTTGATGAATGAGGACCACTGTCTCTAGACATGTTGGACGCTGGAGTCCAGCTGGACGTCCTGGAGACATGGACACAGCAACAACACAGCAAGCTGCTGCTCCTCTGATTGGCTGATTGCTGTGTCCAATCAGGAAGCCTGAACCATTCTCCTCCCACTGAGAAGCTGCAGCTTTACTGGGAACACTGGATCTTTGCTTTGATGCTGACTGGGTTTAGTTCAATATGCTGACAGCAGCTGGACTCACTGCAAACATTTACTTACTTTAAAGTCTCTACAAGATCCATCAGCTGCTGAACATCTGATTCCTTCAGGTTGTTCCATCTCAGGTCCAGTTCTGTCAGACGGGTCGGGTTGGACTTCAGAGCTGAGGCCAAATAATCACAGCTGATCTTTGACAAACTGCAGTGAATCAACCTGAATAAAGATTAAAAGATGTGAACCAACAGGATGCAGGTTAACCAGTCCAACAGAACCAGTTAAAGATTCTCATGAATATTAATGCCAACAAGCTGCTGCTCCAATAAAGACCTGCTGACTTCAGAACCAGAACCAGAACCAGAACCTGGTACTGGGTCATGATGAGTTGGAGGATTTTAGTCAGTAAAACCATTCCAGGTTCTGATCAAAGTGTTGAAGCATCAATCATTGATTATTGATTTGTTCCTGTCAGATTCCAGGAATTCACTTTTCTAGACTGGATGACCTTTGACCTGCTTGACCTGAGGGGGATTTCTACACACTGGGGTCCGAATGCTGTCCTGTTCTGACCTCAGATCAGCAGGTCCAACTCAGTTACACAGAGAAACTAAATTAAACTCTGGATCCAGGAACAAACTCAGAAAATATTGATTAGATCAGAAGAAATGAACTTTGATTGATGATCAATTATATAGAATTATTCACAGAAATATCAATAATTATATCATTAAAATACCTCAATGTCTCCAGTCTGCAGTCTTCAGTCTGTAGAAAACCACAGAGATCCTTCAGTCCAGAACCTTCCAGGTTGGTTCTTACAGGTCCAGTTCTGTCAGATGGGTCGGGTTGGACTTCAGAGCTGAGAACAGAGACGTCCAGCTGGTCTCTGATAAACTGCCTCAATCTGAATAAAGAATAAAAGATGTGAACCAACAGGATGCAGTTAAAACTGAAATATGAACAAATCAATAATAAAATGTATAAATTAATTTCCCTGAATGTAAAAGAAACATGATGAACTGATTCTAACATCTGATCCAGTCAAACTGGTTTAAAGAGTCCAAACCAGCAGAACCAGAACATTTGATCAACAAAGAAACTCAAAGTTTGTCTCAAAGTTTCTGAGGATCTTAAACTCAGTGGATGTTTTTCTCTCCATGTTTCCTTCCAGGCTCTGGATTCTCCGACTGCTCTGTCCATCATTGATCTGCTGATATTTTATGGCTCCAGTTTTTCTTCATTAATCTATTAATGATGTTTTTCTTGCTGCTTGTATTTGAACTGCAGCTCATTGCTCAGTATGACAGATGGAAACGGGTTGATTTCAATCCTTTTATCATATCATCACATTCTGAAAGTTGATCATTTTGTGCTGATTCAGTTTCTGAACCATCAACTAGAAAATATTGATCTTTTCTCTGTGAGGTCATTGTGGGTCATTTGGTTCTGGTTCTGAATCGTTCATCAGACGCTGCAGAAATGGGAACATTGATCAGGATATCAGCATCTTTAATCTGGTCTAGTTAAAGCACTGCAACACCTGGACTCTGTAAACCTGGACTGGATCATCATCAACTAATAGCAGAAGATTTAAAACTAATGTGGGATTTATGGATCTTCAATAAAGGGACATTTCATGTTGACCTTTGACCTGCTTGACCTGAGGGGATTTCTACACACTGGGGTCCGAATGCTGTCCTGTTCTGGCCTCAGATCAGCAGGTCCAACTCAGTTACACAGAGAAACTAAATTAAACTCTGGATCCAGGAACAAACTCAGAAAATATTGATTAGATCAGAAGAAATGAACTTTGATTGATGATCAATTATATGAATTATTCACAGAAATATCAATAATTATATCATTAAAATACCTCAATGTCTCCAGTCTGCAGCCTTCAGTCTGTAGAAAACCACAGAGATCCTTCAGTCCAGAACCTTCCAGGTTGGTTCCTCTCAGGTTCAGTTCTGTCAGACGGGTCGGGTTGGACTTCAGAGCTGAGAACAGAGACGTCCAGCTGGTCTCTGATAAACTGCAGTCAAACAATCTGAATAAAGAATAAAAGATGTGAACCAACAGGATGCAGTTAAAACTGAAATATGAACAAATCAATAATAAAATGTATAAATTAATTTCCCTGAATGTAAAAGAAACATGATGAACTGATTCTAACATCTGATCCAGTCAAACTGGTTTAAAGAGTCCAAACCAGCAGAACCAGAACATTTGATCAACAAAGAAAGTCAAAGTTTGTCTCAAAGTTTCTGAGGATCTTAAACTCAGTGGATGTTTTTCTCTCCATGTTTCCTTCCAGGCTCTGGATTCTCCGACTGCTCTGTCCATCATTGATCTGCTGATATTTTATGGCTCCAGTTTTTCTTCATTAATCTATTAATGATGTTTTTCTTGCTGCTTGTATTTGAACTGCAGCTCATTGCTCAGTATGACAGATGGAAACGGGTTGATTTCAATCCTTTTATCATATCATCACATTCTGAAAGTTGATCATTTTGTGCTGATTCAGTTTCTGAACCATCAACTAGAAAATATTGATCCTTTTCTCTGTGAGGTCATTGTGGGTCATTTGGTTCTGGTTCTGAATCCTTCATCAGAGACGCTGCAGAAATGGGAATATTGATCACGATATCAGCTTCTTTAATCTGGTCTAGTTAAAGCACTGCAACACCTGGACTCTGTAAACCTGGACTGGATCATCATCAACTAATAGCAGAAGATTTAAAACTAATGTGGGATTTATGGATCTTCAATAAAGGGACATTTCATGTTGACCTTTGACCTGCTTGACCTGAGGGGGATTTCTACACACTGGGGTCCGAATGCTGTCCTGTTCTGGCCTCAGATCAGCAGGTCCAACTCAGTTACACAGAGAAACTAAATTAAACTCTGGATCCAGGAACAAACTCAGAAAATATTGATTAGATCAGAAGAAATGAACTTTGATTTATGATCACTTATATAGAATTATTCACAGAAATATCAATAATTATATCATTAAAATACCTCAATGTCTCCAGTCTGCAGCCTTCAGTCTGTAGAAAACCACAGAGATCCTTCAGTCCAGAATCTTCCAGGTTGGTTTCGTACAGGTCCAGTTCTGTCAGATGGGTCGGGTTGGACTTCAGAGCTGAGAACAGAGACGTCCAGCTGGTCTCTGAGAAACTGCAGTCACTCAATCTGAATAAAGAATAAAAGATGTGAACCAACAGGATGCAGTTAAAACTGAAATATGAACAAATCAATAATAAAATGTATAAATTAATTTCCCTGAATGTAAAAGAAACATGATGAACTGATTCTAACATCTGATCCAGTCAAACTGGTTTAAAGAGTCCAAACCAGCAGAACCAGAACATTTGATCAACAAAGAAACTCAAAGTTTCTATCAGTCTGGATGAGTTGAGCTATTTCTGCTGGTTCCTGATCATCAGACCCGACTTGGTAACTGGATCAGAACCAGTCAGGTTCTTCATTAATGGCTTTGGGTTCCTATTAAAGCTGCTGAAAGCCAATGGAGGCCATTATTTCCTCAGGAGACGGTTCCTCTCTGACCCGGCCCAACAGAACCACAGCCTCAGGACAAAGCTGAGGAACCTGCTGCTGCTGCAAACCTCACTTTCATTCATTGCATCTAGATTTGCTTTTCTACAATCAGTGGTTTCTTAGACGTTCATTAATGAGGATTTGAACTCGTCAGTGTTTGTGGCTCTGGAGGATCAACATTTCATTCTGATGTAAAGAATCAGAAATAAAAGCATCTGAATCTTTACCAAACTGAAACATCTCCATCATTCATTCACAGCATTTCAATTATTTTACTCATTTTGTTCATCAAAAACATTTTAAAGAGAAAAACTGAAAAACAAAGTTCAATAATCTCAAAGTCTGAAATAAGAAAATAATTAATAAGGTCAAAAGTTTTAGAGATTTTATTCTGATAATTAAACAGGTTGTTTTAAAATAATATATATTAACATTAAATTGATTAACTATTGATTAAAGAATCAATAAATGATTTTATTGAATAAATAGAGAAAACAAACCTCAGAATCTTCACTTTACTGACTGAATTCTCCAGGATCTCAATCAGATGCTTCATATCAGATTCTCCAGCTTTATATATGAAGATCTGATTTATTTCCAGTTCAGTCAGATCTGGGTTGGACTTCAGAGCCGAGGCCAAAACTTCATATTCAGCATTTTCCATCAAACAGCCACCAAGTCTGTGATTAGAGAAGAAATAAATTCAGTTCTAATGAAATCAATCTGGATCATAAACAGACTAAAATATGATAACAGTGATGTCATCATCTGATCATCATCTGATCAATATCTACTGAGTTTGACCCCACAGAGAATCTGTGCAGTTCCTGGTTAGAGTCCAGGTTCTGGTTCTGGTTCTGGTCCAGGTTCTGGTTCTGGTTCTGGTTCTGGTTCTGGTCCAGGTTCTGGTTCTGGTTCTGGTCCAGGCTTCATGTCCTCAGACCTTCAGCTGCAGTCAGATGTTGAAGATCTTCTATCATCAGTGAAGGAAAGTTCAGTTTCTCTGCAGCAGCTGATGAAGAGGCTGACTGAGCTGAATGAAGGAAACGACTGGAGATGATGGAGAGGAGGAGGAACTGCTCACAGCTCTGACTTGGACTAGACCGTTTAGATCAAGCAGGAAGTGAGTTCTAAATGAAGTGAGCAGAACAGGAAGTCCAGCTGCTGTGGACCTCTGGCATCTCTGGGTTTGTGGAGCCAATATCTGCTGCATCATCATGAATAATAGTAATATATTGTATAGAAACATGTTTCCCAGCAGCAGGTTATTAAATGCTGCCACAGAGGAAACTGTGGCAGCATTTAGACAGAACGGAGACAGTTCTGTCTCCGTTCATCTGCTGGATTTGATGCTTTAACAAAGTAGAAAGTGGACAGTCGTCAACCTGCTGCAGCTAAAAGCTTCACGTTGTTCTGGTCGTCCTGCAGAGCAGCAGCAGAACCGGTCCTGCTGCTCCTTCCGGTCTGAACCGTCTGGACTGGGTCAGAACCGGGTCCAGGTGACCCAGGATCTGCAGATGATCCTCATTAATATGTCTGCACACATTGAGATGAGACAGACTGATAAACTCTCAGTCCATCAGTCTGATCTACTATAGTGATGATATGGATCATGGTGGACAGAACCAGAACCAGAGCCAGGGCCGGATCCGGGCCGGACCAGCGCAAGACCATCATTTGTATATGGACCCCTGTGATATAGCCTTGCTCACCCTTTGGCCACCCCTTGAAAAAAAGTCGAGCTCCGCCACTGCAGACAGAAACAGTTTATATTAAAATCCTGTTTTATGAATCATGTTTGGTGGATGAATCATAAAATGTGACAGATGAGAGACGTCTGATCATGCAGAGTGTTTCTGACTCCATTTGGGTCATGAACCAAAGAAACCCTGTGGAGAATCAACAATAATTATAGTTTATTAATGACACTAAATTTAACAGATTTCAGGAAAAACGACTCAAAGATGATTTGAACCAGAACAACACAGAGGATTTTTCTCCCTGGATTTTATGGGACGAAGCAAAAACTTTAATTATCTGGTTCTCTAATGAGAAAGAGAGAAATGTTTAAAAGATTAGAAAACTAAAATCTCCAAATACAACGTATGGAAAATAATAATAATAACAAATCAGAGAAACAAGGAGAAACTGTTTCTATGAAACCAGATGGAGGAAAAGGATAAATTTATTCAACTCAACTATTATGGAAATAGATCAAAGCAAAGAAACTGATAGCAAACTAATAGATTTATCAATAAATTTAAATCCAACAGATAAAGACACCGATCTCTAAAACACGTGAGAATCTGTTGAATGATCCTCCACTCAGTTCTGCTCTCAGCCTCATGCAGTTTTTGCTGCTGCTCTGGATTCACCATCGATAGGAACAGATCAAAATCATCCACTAACAACTAATCACTGATCAATAAAGTCATTAAAGACTGAAAGGGAATCAGACGGCAGGTGAGGAGGCGACCCGGCAGAGCGGCTGCTGAAGGATTGATTAGATCAGAACTTTGTGGAGGGGAAACACCGCCATCTTGGATCAGAGCAGAGATGTCAGTGATTCCTAAACCTGGTAAAGATGAAACTGGATGTGGTTCATAAACCAACATCAGTTTGAAACATTGATTACAGGATCACTGCAGCAACACTGGATGAATATTATAATCCCAGGAATTACAGACACAGATCAGATTTAATCTGGTTTTATCATCAACATTCAAACCCATGACAACGTGGGCTCCTGACCTCACAGGTCAAAGGTTAAACAGAATCAATAAAGTCATTTAGATGCTGAAAAGGCTTTTGATTCAATGTGTTGGAAATATCTTTATTGAGCTCTGGACAGATTTGGCTTTAATAATCAGATTATAGGTTGTTTCAGTCTGTATGAATCACATTCTGCCAGGATTAAGATTAATGTGGATTATCAGATTCAGGAAAGGGTCTGTGGCCGAGGCTGAACCCTCATCGCCACGTTGCTGCTTTTATTGATCCATCAGAGAACAACAACATTATGGGAGGAACTATTAAAGGAACAAGACCAGACGATGAGCTGCTAACGCTAACTGCTAACGCTAACTGCTAACGCTAACTGACCCGGAGTTAGCCGACCTGATAGCACAGGATGCTACGTCAACGATGGATTATAGTCAGAATGATTGATTTCTGGTCCATAATCAATGATCAATCAGCAAACAATCATCCAATTCTAGTCAGAACCAAAGTTGAAAATGTGTCAACGAATCATTTGAGGTTGAAATTGATGAATCAAACGCCGATAACTGATCAATATCTGTTATCGGCAGATATTGATCGAGTCAATATCTGATCTATATTAAATCAATAAATGCTTTCCCAACTCCCTCTTCAGTACTTTGGTTCTTGGTTTGGTGAAACTGAACTGGATCTTTATCAGCATTTGGACATTTTTAATGAATTTAATCAACTTATTTTTCAGTGTTTGTGGTTAATGGAGGATTGAACCAGTTATTGATGAACTTTAACCCCTGTATATATTGTCAATAATTGTTCCAACTGCAGTTCAAATCACCTTTTGCTCTATTTTTCTGTCTCTGGTGTTAAATCAATCCTGATTTGATCTTTAGGTTTTCTGATAAACACTTTATTTTAAAAAATTGACTCATTTTTACCACGAGCTGCAGCATCATAAATGCTGCAGCATAGTGCAGCATTTATGATGCTGCACTATGCTGTAGCATCATAAATGCTGCAGCATTTATGATGCTACAGCATAGTGCAGCATCATAAATGCTGCAGCTTGATAGCTAAATGTAACTGTATGTGTCGACTAGCATAAGATAAATATTCATGAATATTCCTCATTAACTTAGTGAGTGTACATCAATCAATCAGATTGACTGATTGATTGATTGATTGATTGATTGAGTGTACATGGGGAACCGAACGCTTTGTGTTTGTTCTCAGACCTGTAACCAGTTCCCTACTTAATATTTCTGCGTGTTACAAAACGTCTCTCTTGCTCTGCAGAACCTGGTTTCTTTAGCAGAATGCTCTCAGAGTCAAGATAAGCAACCAGCAGCTTCTGCATGCTGAGTTTTTAAATTAACACCACAAAGGAGCAGCAGACACGAACAGACAGTCAGTTTGACACAAACTTATTTTAATCTCATCAGAGAACATGTGAAATTTCCTCCCCAGAATGTTTAATGTTTTCCTGGGCGAATAACATGCAACACTGATGATGATGATGATGATGATGATGATCAGAACATTCACATTAGACTGGAAGGAAATAATTAAGGAAATTCATCCAGTGGAGAGACTGACTGTCATGAAGACTTTCTGCTGATCAATAAAAATATTGGAAGAGAAGAAACCTGAACCTGGAACCAACTGGAGGATCAATGTAATCATCTAGTTTTATTGTGAAAGTTCTCACTTTGGGTTTTATTGTTTTATTATTTAATTGTCTTTGTTCAACAAGATACTTTGCAGCTTTTGTTAGTGGAGGTTTGAATGTTCAAAGTATTTATATTTCTGAAACTATGAAAACAACAAAATATAAAGTTTATGAAAAATAATCCAGAGGATGAAGGAAGTAGATAAAGAGCAAAAACATCCAGAATCAACTTAAAGACAGAAGAAGAAACAGGAGGACAATAGAGCTGAATCAGCATCACACAATGAAAACATCTGGACTCACCGAGCCTTTCTGCAGTTCCTCACAGCTGGAACCAGTCTCCGTCGTCCTTTATCTGAGGTTTTGTACTTCTTCAGGTCCAACTCATCCAGAACTTCTGACATCTGCAGCATGAAGGCCAGAGCTGAACAGTCAGTCTCTGAGAGCTCCTTCCCTGAATCCAGCAGCCGTTGGATCTCCTGATAAAATGAGACGTCGTTCATCTCCACCAGACAGTAGAAGATGTTGATGCTTCTGGCAGGAGAGATATCATCAGAGTTCATCTCCTTCAGGTTGGTGATGATTCTCTGGATGGTTTCTGGACTGGTCTCTGTCTGACCCAGCAGATCTTCTAAGAGTCTCTGGTTGGACTCCACAGTGAGACCATGAAGGAAGCGGACAAACAGGTCCAGGTGGCCATTTTTTACTCCAGAGGGATTTCTCCATGACTTTCTCCATGAACTCATCTAGAGATGTTTCTCTGTATTCGTCTCCCAGGAACGTCTTGATCTCCTCTGACTTCCTGCTGGTGAAGCAGTGGAGCATGTAGACTGCAGCCAGAAACTCCTGGATGCTCAGATGAACAAAGGAGTAGACGGAGACGTCGCCCGTTCCACTGTCCTTTTTAAACATTTCAGTGAAAACTCCTGAATTGTGCAGATTTCTTGCTATCAATGCCACACTTCTCCAGGTCTTTGTCATAGAAGATCAGGTTTCCCTTCAGCAGCTGATCAAAAGCCAGTTTTCCTAGAGACTCAATCAGCTTCCTGTTCTCTGGACTCCAGATAGATTTGCTCTTTTTTCCTCCATCATATTTTTCCTCCTTGATTTTGAGTTGAACCTTCAGGAACTTTATGTACATCTCAGTCAGAGTCTTGGGTAGTTTCTCTCTCTCTCTGGTCTTCATCACATCCTCCAGAACTTTAGCAGTGATCCAGCAGAAGACGGGGATGTGACACATGATGTGGAGACTTTTGGATTTCTGGATGTGGGAGATGATCCTGCTGGCCTTCTCTTCATCATCTCTGAATCTCTTCCTGAAGTATTCCTCCTTCTGGGGGTCAGTGAACCCTCTGACCTCTGTCACCATGTCAACACAGTGAGCAGGGATCTGATTGGCTGCTGCAGGTCGTGTGGTTATCCAGAGGAGAGCAGAGGGAAGCAGTTCCTTCCTGATGAGGTTTCAGCAGAACAACAGTGAGGTCGACTTTTCAGGGTCAGTCAACATTGTAGTGTTGTAGAAATCCAGATTAAATCGACTTTCATCCAGACCATCAAAGATGAACAGAACCGGAACGATTCAAAGTTTCTGATTCCTTTGGTTTTAGTGAAGCGTTCATGAATCAGTTTCTAATAAGCTGAACTTTTCTTCTCTCAGTAAATTCAGTTCTCTGAAGGTGAATGGAAATATGAAATCAATGTTGTGGTTGGTTTTGCCTTCAGCCCAGTCCAGAGTGAAACTTCTGTGTTAACAGTGTTTCCCAATGCCAGCCACGCCCATGGTCATCACTGTTCTGATTGGTTGATCCTCCCAGGTGGGACTTTAAAGATGTCTTCTCTTCTGACTGTTTCTTGTTTCCTGGATGCTGTTTCAATCTGTCTGACCTCATGTTCCTGGTTGACCTCTCTAGTTGACCCCTCTGTGATGTAGAGCTCAGTGTAGATCTGGTTCAGATCGGTTTTATTTCCAAGTTCAGCGACGCCTTCAGAGAGACTCTGGATCATCTTCAGATGGTTTTTAAGTTCCTGTTGACACCGAACATCAAAATCTAAAAAATAAACAAGAGCAGACACTTCAGCTAAACATAATGAAAATAGTTATTTTGATATTCTCAAAGGACATTAATATATTTAACTTTTTCTCTGTGGTGAAAAATTTTGAAATCAGGAACTATTAGAAGAGATCAGATTTATTTATCATTTATAGTTTAATCAAAACCAGTAGAGGTTGTAATAGCAGCTTTAATGAACTTTGTCTCTCACCTGGACCAAAGGAGGCAGAGGACAAACCCAGCTGGTTGGACAGAGTTGGATCCATGTGATGAAGATGTTTGATCATCAACCTGCAGGCTCTCTGTCCTTTCTTTCTCACAGCATCTATGGTGTCGCGGGCCTTGTCTGCTCTGGTTTGGTTCATCTGCAGTATACCCTCATCCTCCAAATCACCAAACACCTCATCTGATAGAAGCTCATCAAGGAGCCGTTTCAGGATTTCCTCAGAAACTTTCTTCACAAACTCAGAGAACCTTGAAAAGTTTTTCCTCTACAGGCAGAAACAGAAACAGGATTAATTTACATCTGAGAGACAAACCTGATGAAGATCAACTCTTCCTGTTGCTCCATCCAGAGATTCCTCAGAGTCTGTTGATCAGCTCCTCAGGTCTGAACCTGCTGTTGTGTTTCTGCCTCATATCTGAGTGACGACCACTGATTCTGTCTACATGAGAACAAATGAAGCTTCTGTTCATCATTTGTTTCCTCACTGCAGGAAGAACAATAAAACAAACACCTTCTAAATATAGAGCTGAACTATTTCAGGAAAACAGGAAACTCTGATGTTATTGATGAAAATATCGACTGATTAACATTTTCATCACTTTTCTCTCTTTTACTTTCAACAAATTTTTAATCTCTATCTTTAAGCTTCAGCATCTCTGTCACCAAATGTTGGGATAAAAGACAGAGACAGTCTTTGATAATAAATTAGTAATAAATGATGTGATTATTGGATCAATTAATTAGTGAATATAGTAAATATTCCTGAAGATGTTCTTCACTTTGGTTCCTTTTAGTTCTGTTTCCATCTGAGTCCAGGTTTTATCTTCAGGTTTCACAGAAACTCAGTTTCCAGCACAGCTTCACTGAACAGGAAGCATGAAAACAATAAATAGTCTGAGGCTGAGGTTCATCACATGGCAGCAACACGGGCTGTGATTGGTCCGTTTGTTCCTTCATGATGGTTCATTTCTGCTTCTGATCACTTACCAAAATCCACTTCCTGCTGGACTTCCTGCTGGACTTCCTGCTGGACTTCCTGCTGCTGCGCCATCTTTTATCTGGAAAACATGAAGGATTTATTATGTTTCAGACTTTGTCTCATAAATAATTTACTGTGGTATAAATGATAAACTACATGGAAAATACCAGATTAGAGATGAAAATACTCATTTAAATCACACAATAACACACCACTGAAAAACACCATTTCTTTAATTCTTAAAACTAAAATTTGTCTTTATGAAAACTGACTTGATTCTTCCAGAACATCTGAAATCAACACTATTGAACCAAATGTTTGTATTTAAGGATGGAAAGCGACTGTGAGTCATTCTAGGATCAGATTTCCTTCAGACTGAAATGAAAAACATCTTTAAATCCTGTTTGTTGCCATTGAACAGTAATGTGTTGCTGCCATCACCAGCTGATTAAATGTCCCAGAAATGCGTCTGGCCTCCTGCTCAGGCGTTTAGTTTTCAGGTGACCAGTTGTCCTCACCGTCTCTGCCGTCTTCCTCTGAGTGATGATGAGAAGCAGCAGAAATAAAGACACAGAGGGATGAGAGGGACGAATCTGGACTGACAGAGTTTCATCCTGTTGAAACAAACCAAGTTCTGACTGGTTCTGCTGAAGCTGCTGACTGGGACCAAACTGGAGAAACTTAGTGGAATTAAAACCTCTACAACCCTAAAGGCGACCCAATCAAAACGACTCACTGTAGATATTTGAAACTTGCTACACAAAGCCTTCAACACAGGAAATAAACTATTGGAGGGAGGGTCAAAGGTCATTTTTGACATGTCACATGATGAATTTAGTCCAAGGAATTTAGATGTATTGGCTTCTTACAGCAGGTATTGTTGTTGCGCAACCTCTGCCCCCTCCTTCACTCTCTCCTCTCTCAGTCACTACTTCCTCTTCAGAGAGGGGAGATGTGCTACCAGCTCTCTGTCTAACGGGTGAATTGAGTTTCCTAAATCTGTCCAGAACTGAAGTAAACTCTGTTTTAGCTGCATCCAGAAAGGATTCGCCTGGTTTGACGGCCTCCATCCAGATGTCTCGTCCTTCTTCCCCTGTGAATCAGCCAGACTGAGCAGCCAACTAGTTCCACAGAGCACATCTGTTAACGGTCGCTCCTTCTCTTTGTTACAACTTGCACTTGTTACTGAATCAGGTTGGTTTAGTGACTCTGGCGAGTCCCAAGGATGTTGTTTTAGATTTGGGCTAAAGCAACCTATAAAACATGACCTAGTTTTTTCTTCCCCAGAATCAAACATCACAGCTATTTTACTACCGTCAAAGAACTTTGAGGTGACTCATTAATTGAATGTCCACATCTTTTACATTTTCTTTATGCTAAATATTTTTAGTAAAGCACTTTTGCAAGAGTCAGTACAGCTTAATGAAGTAGCAGAAATAATCAAATAAGTAAAATCAATCATCTAGTTTGTCTTTCCCTAACGCTGATACTAAGAACTAAAAAGGGAATCTGTTGTGGACAGGCGTAGAGGGGATCACGTGATGTCGTTAGTGATTATAGATCAGCTGTTGCACCTGGGTGAAGTAGTGAGTGGGTGATGGAGGAAGGTTTACTTTTTGCTGACCGCTTCAATTTAGCACATTTTGTCTTTATTCACTGTTTTTTCTACGGATCCGTTTTTTTATTTTTTTTTAACTTTATTTTTATTTATTTTTAACAACACATGTCCACAGTTGCATTCGTCTGTCTCTTACTGACATTTATCTTCTGCATTATAACTTGACAAAAGATGAGACATCAAATGATCTAACATAGGCAATAAGGAATACATACCAGTACAAACATCACACAAGAACAACAAAATAAAAATAAAAAATAATACAAGACACACAATTAAATCCCCTCTGACATAAGATGGTCCTCATTCTTAAACACCATGGTATTAACTGACCCATGGGTACATACAGGTGCCAACAAGCAATCCTGTAAGGGCGTCATTGAATTAGTAACGGTAAGACCGGGCTCCACCTTATATCAAAAACTGTTTTTGAAGCCTTAAGGAATATGTGATTCCTTCCATCAGATAAATGTCCCAGATTTTTGTATCCATGTGTTATGTAGGAGGCCCTGGTTTCAGCCACCTGATAGTTATACATTTCAAGGCTGCTGTGAGCAAGATACTTAGAAGATATCTATCACCCTTCCTGTCCATTCCATCGGGTATTACTCCCAGAACTGCCACCAAGGGAGTTTTTGGAACATTTCTCCTGAAAATAACACTGAGAGCTTCAAAAATGTCCTTCCAGAAATCACTTAGTTTAGGACAAGACCAGAAGCTACGGATCCGTTTTTATGCTGTGTGGACACTGACGCT